GCAGCATGGCAGCAGAGCGTGCTGGCAGGCAGCAGGGCAGCAGAGCGGGCTGGCAGGCAGCAGGGCAGCAGAGCGGGCTGGCAGGCAGCAGGGCAGCAGAGCGGGCTGGCAGGCAGCTCCCAGCAGCGGGGACGGGCGGCAGCACGCGGCAGGAAAAATGGCGGCGGCAGGCTGTGTGTGTAGACGACCGCCTTGAACACACGAGGAGAGAGCGAGAGAAAGAGGGGCGTGCCGCGCTGCCTCTCTCATGGGGTTCTTCGGCGCCAGTTTTGCATTTCCGGGCTTTTCAGCCAATCAGACGGGACCTAGTCCTGCCCCTGCTTCCGGCCACGGCTCCTCCCCTGCAGCAGCTGCTCCCCCCCCCACACACACAGAGGGGGTTCAGTGCCGTGTGGAGACACCATTTTAAGTCAGTTTTGTCGGCTGACTCAAAGGACATTTCATGTTCGTGTAAGGAAATACCTGGTCCTTCACAACTCCCCATGAGGAAACTGCTTAGAGTCTTACAAAGAAGAATAAAAGAGAGATTAAGCAACAAAAGCAGATGTATATGACTACAGCACTTTGTGGCTTTTGCAGTGGAAACAATACCTCCGTGTCTGCAAAGAAACACCCCATTGTCACAGCTGCACTTGGTCCTCTGCTCTACTACGGGTCAGAAGATGGGGAGATGTGGGCTAACCAGAGATCAAACACCCTCAGCCACGGGCTGACAGGCCTAACTGAAGACAGGTCCAGCACCACCATACTAGGAGACATCTTCTCTTCTGTTGGTGCCCTGGTTTTCTAGGTGGTTTGGGTTTGGCCCCACACTGTTACTTCCTGTGTGATGGGGTGGGAGAGAGGGTGTCTGCAGCGAGCAAAAGAGCATGAGGACCTGGTTACCTGCAGACCTCACCTCCTTCTGCCCTGCACAACTTGGGATGGTGTTTGGGCTGTGGCAGCACACAGCTGTGAGCTCCCCTCCCTGGGGGGCATCACCAGGTGGAGCAGGGGGCTGCTCAGCTGTGGCCTTTCTCAGGACATGCATCCCATGCCACACTGCTGAATGTACATGCTGGCCTTCAGAGCTCATCTGTGGTAGCAGCCCAAAGCTGCTGTGCTTTCCAGAGGTACCTTCAGACACCCTCTCCTTAATGCCTTCCCTTGGGGCTTTCCTTGGAGGGAACTGCAGACATCACTTCAGGGACTTACAGTGCTTCCCTCCCTGTAACATCCAGAAAATCGCTTTCTTCTTCTAAAATGGGAATTGAAGCCCAGTCAGGACTGCAGCACAACAATCTTTTCTCCTCAGTAGAGGGAGGGTAAAGCCACAAAGATATTGCCATTTTCCCACTGCTCATCTGGCAAAGAAGGCTGAGATTAGAGGCATGGGCTGCTTTCTCCTTGTCCAGCTGGGTCTGATGGTGCAGAAAGTTTCTCATGCTGATTAGAAAAGCGGCTGTTTGGTGGAAGGGACCATGTACATGCCAGAATCTCATGGGGAATCCTTGCTGCAGGTAGGTGGTGTGCCCTTTTGCTGGCTTGGCTGTTCTTTTGTTGTACGAAATGTCTAAGCAAGTTTATTTTGTGCACACACCTCCAGGGACTCAGAAATACCAAGGCCTGCTGTCACTTTTGTGATGCATGGTGGACATTAGCTATTGATCTCTCACCACCTCTCATGAGTGCCTCTTTGCTACTCACAGCAAGTTAATTTTTGAGCAGACCTTTTATAACCTTTAGGAGTGGTTTCTTCCTTCTGTCTGTCTACCTGTTGCTCTAACAGGAAAAAAGATGCCACATTTGATGTGCTGTAACTGGTCTGCTGGAGCATAGGGGCTTCCAGTTTGAGTCATTTCAGCTGTGCCTTTACAAGAGTGCAGGCACCCGGGCACAACCGGCTTGGTTAGCTGGAAGTAGTGGCCTTGGTTATGAAGGCCATTGTGAGAAGCAGGCAAAGCACAGGGGTGTGTTGGAAGCAGGCAGTGGCTTTGAGGGATGTTGTCTTGATGAAGCAGTGAGACAAGGTTGAGCAGAACATGGGCAGTGGCTTCAGCATGTCAGAGGCCTCCCTCCACCTTGCTTTATGGACCCAGCAAAAAATCCCAACCAGTCAGGTGAGTTCGGGGTTGTTGCCTTTGCCCCAAACCCCATAGGTTCTCAGGCTGGAAGCAGCTGTGTCTGAGTGTGCAGACCTTGCATGTTCCTGCCAGCGTGGCCAGGGAGAGAGGTCCCCACAGCCCCCCAGGCTGGCACAGCTGGCACAGCTGGCACAGTCTGCTTGGCTGGGGAGATGCCTGGGCATGGCAGCCGCTGCCCTTGGCACGTTTTTCTCCACAGAGGGTAGATCACACACATAAATGTCATCTTGTTGCTCTTGCTTCCTTTCTTCTTTTGTGCGTGTGCCTCCCTTGGTTGGTCTGTAAGGAAACGGTAACAAAAAGAAGGAAGAAAAGCTAGGTTTTCCTGCAATGTGCAGAAGCAGCAATGCTGTGACCCTAGTTAATTTTACCTCAAGTAACTTTCTCCTTTTGTGCAAAAAGGGATAATTTTTACCAGTGTTAGTACTGGTTAGAAGCTGATGAAGCTGAAGAGGGGAGATGCCTTACAAGACCTTACTATAACTTAAAGGAAGAAGAATAACATGGAAGAACAAGAAAGATTTCTCTAATGTTGTACATCTGTGCCACAGCTTTTCTTCTGTCTTGTTTCTCTGCCTCCATCTATGATAAAAAGCTGGAAGATTTCAGCGGGCACTGTAGCAGAGGGATTGTGCTGGGGATAATATGATTCAAAATCCTCACTACCCCATCTGTTTCATGTTGGAAACAGGAATAAAGATTTTATTATCTTCTCAACATGTTTTTGGATCTAACTTCCATGTCTCTTCACCATCTATCCAACACCGACCAGCTACAAGGTTGGTTCCTGGCTACACCCAAGGCAGTGTTTTCATCCCCTTTCAAGCTCATCCCTCTCTTGCAGCTTGCTCAAACAGACAGCTGTGCCTGCAGGACACCTTTGTGTGGCAGTGCCCAGCCCCTCATAGATAAGATGTTGATGCAAAGCTGATTCTGATGGTTTCCAAGGGATGTGGGTCTCCTTCCTACAGGTTGTCCAACAGCCATTGGCTATCTGCTCCTCGTTGGGGGTTCAGGGCTTGCTGTCTCCTTGCTGCTGCTGAGGCTGTGGGAGGCAGGAGGATTCCCATTCCCACCCCCAGAAACCATGTCCTTCCCACTAGGGTGATGGCATGCAGATCTGTAGTTGAACTTTTCGGGTGAACATTGAGGAGGACTGGCCCTCCATCTGGGTAGACACACCATGGGGCCATTCCTGCATTTTAGTCTCTGTTTTCCTTACCACTGCACTTTGCCTCCATCCTGATAAAACGCCCTGCTGAGAGGCCCTTGGTTTTGGTGTCTGTGCTAGAAACGAGAAGTGCTAGGGTGAGGGCTGGGAGGAGGGGAGGAGGACAGGAGGGCTGCACCAACACGTCCCACAACCACTTGCTGGCAGCAGAAAACCCTTTCACATGCCAGGAGCTATCATTAAACAAGGCAACACTGCATATTTGTTCCCCTGAAAATGAACTTTAGGAGGATTTTCCTAGTCAAGTGCTTGCTGCTTTTATTTTCCGGCATAAACTGTGAGTTTTTCTTACCATTTTTTCATCTTTTGGGCTAGCACTGTTAAAACTGCATTTTAAAAAATTTACAGTTTGGTGGGGTGTTACTGATAAAAAACTAGTTCCACTTTCCCAGTGAGTTGAGACCTTTGGGTTATTGCAATGCATTTGGTTTAATTTTCAGCCAGAGGGAGGGCAGGAGCTGAGTTTCCTATTCCAGTTATAATAACAATAATCTGTAAACAGTTTTGGTTTAAAGTTAATGAGCCTTAATTTGACACATGTATAATGAAAAATGTCAGCATGGAGTTTTCTCTCTGCCCTCGAGGCAGCTTGTTCTACATTAGAGATCCAGTTCATGGTGCATTATCGCATGTAATTTCCTTTTCTTATCAAAGATGAGCAAATCTTTTCAAAGTGCAAATTACACTCTTCCATAAATATTAACAGAAAAAGTGATATATCTCCGTGTCTTCAGTGGAGTTGAAGAAGTCTGGGACATGAAAACAGCAAGGAAATACATACATCTTTTATATTTTGAGTGTTGTTGTTCTCATTACTTTTTAAAATATTAATCTAAAAGCTTAATTAAGGTGTTAACTCATAGATTAGAGAAGGTTATAAGAAATGGAGACAATACAATCATGCATAGTTTGTTGTTTTGTTGTTTTTTTTTCCTCTGTTTATTCCCCTACAGATTGTATGTATGGCTGTTTAATGCTTTTCTTTTCCTCCAGAACAAAATTAATAGATAAATAAGGAATTAAATTTTTTTGCTATGTGATACATAAAACATCTTCCCCATCAGAAATGAAGATTATTCCCTCGAATGGAAAACTTGTTTCAAAGGCTTCCTTACATCTCTAAGGTTACTGTGGGTCCTTTTCATTTTAACTCTTTCTTGTGACTGCAAGTGAGCTCTATTCTTGGTGTCAATTATTAACTGAAATGATATTCTGACAATTAATTTCTTTTCGCCCCTTGGAGCACATTTCAGTTGGCATCAGCAGAAATGCTGTTTACAGATTTTTAGTATCATATGTGTGGGATAGCTTTCCATTAGCAAGATCAGATAAACACCTAGAGATGTGTCTATGTGGTCTGCCTGTAAAGATGCCATTGAATTGTCCTTGAAAACTTAGATTTATTTTTATCTTTACTTCTGGAAAGAGAAGAAACAATTATAGTATCTGTTATGGAAAGAAACCCTAATACTAGCTCTAAATACCTGTCTGTGACTGAGCAGAAAGAAGTATTAGAATTCAAATATTTTGGGTATAATCTGTAGTGTCATCTGTGTGGAGGATAGCTGCTTCCAAACCAGTTTGGTTGATTGCATGATTTCAGAATATTTCATTAGCTATGTCAAATACCTTTTAAGAAATGAAATGGTGAAATAACAGCCTCTCCTCAGACTGGGGCTGAGTTGCTGAAAGCCCTTCAGTATTAATTTTCTTGTTGCACAGGCACTGTTTGAGTTCTTTGATTGTCTCTAATATCATTAGTTTCATGAAATAGCAACTGGATTTCAGCGTCCCCTCTGTGATATGGTTTATAATTGTCCTTGATACCAGGAATGAAAGACTGTAATAAAAATATGCGTAAACATAGGTTTTCTCTCTGGGGGGAAAAAGTGATTAAAATACATAAAATTAGCGCAGAATCAGCTCTATCTGCTGATGTGAAAAGAAATCCCCTCCTGCCAATCAGCTTTATCCTGTAAATTGAAGAGGAATTAACCTAAGAAAACGACAAAAGAAATGAGCCATGGGTCTGAGTGCCCAGTCAGTTATCAGTGAGCTTGTCCCACCTCACACTTGTGAGCACCTTCTACCTCCCCCAAATTTTTCACCTGTCACAGGGGTGCAGACAGTATCTTGAAGCGACCTCCTGATTAACTTTGCACTCCAAAGTCCCAGTGCACTGGAGATGGGTCTTGCAAAGGCTGCGAAGCCTGCTGGATTGGTAAGGACAGCCCAAAGGGTGTATCATCTCCCGTGGTAGCAACGTGGTTGCTGTTTAGCCATCTTTGGCTTTACCAAATATCCCCTTCAACAGCCACACACTAAGTGCTGTCTGGTCCTGGTAGCACCTTTGGGAAGCACCTACTCTTACCTGTTCTGGAGATGGGACCTGTTGTCAAAGGTGACCTGCAAAGAGAAAAGTTTTTTTGGCCTTTGCTTATCTCCTAGTGTTTCTAGTGCCCATCAGTTCACAGGATGTGGTTGGCTCTTTGTTTCTCCCCACCCTACTTGCCCCACTGTGATCCTCTGCTAGAAACGTCAAGTGGATGTATTCCAGTGGGGCAGGGTGCCCGGGGTGAGGGCAGAGAGGTTATGGAGTCCCCTTCTCTGGACACATTAAAAAACCTGCCTAGATGCAGTCCTGTGTAATGGGCTCTGGGCAATCCTGCTTTAGTGGGAGAGTTGCACTAGGTGAACTCTAGACATCCCTTCCAACTGTGACAATTCTGTGATTCTGTGATGGGTGAGGAGGGGGCACTGCAAGCTGGCAGCACTGGGTCTAACTTCCAGTTCACTGCCTTACACTCACTCACTGCTTGACATGAACCACTGTTATTATTACTATTGCCATCACTGTTATTTCTGAACCAATCCTACTGTTCAGGGCTACCACTAGTTTGTGTTCTTGCCCTCTGCAGAGGTGGGCACTCTGGGTATCAGCCCATGCCACGCGCAAAACACACCCAAGTGATCTGCAGGTGGGGGTGAAACTACATGATCTTCAAAGTCCCTTCCATCCGAAATCATTCCATGATTCCATGATTCCATGCCCTTATTTTCAGGAAGGTTAAAGTTCTGGGTTAAGTTCATGGACATTCGTGAATCTTGGCATCCAGAATCACTCCAAAGAAGTCAGCCAGAGTATAAATCCAGCTTTTGAAAGCCAGACTCTTAGCTTCCTTGCCTCTCAGAATTAAACTGGGCGTGGATATTTTTCAAATGAATGATCAAGAGGCACTTTGGAGCAGGGGAAGAAGAGAGCATCAGTAGGATGGAGAGGCTTAGGCAGCTCAGCGGGGGGATGGCAAGTGACCAGCTTTGGGTTCACCGCTGTGGCTGCAGAGCACGGCAGTGGGGGTGCTGGAGACACACTAATGGGCTGGTTGTGCTTCCCTTTACAGGCTCCAACACCAACACTATTTACAGAGCAGTGAATGAGTCAGCTCTTCTCAGCGTTGCTGCTGCTGGGAGTGTATATGATGCAGTGTGGTGGAGAGATGGGAAAAAGTGGCTTCAGATAAAAGACAACAACGTGAAGTACTATGTGAGCAAGACCCACTGCAGGTGTAAGTTATTTGTAAATGGGACTCTGAAAATAGATTCAGTGGTGAAAGAGGACAGTGGAAAGTACACTGTGTTTGTTTATAACCGGGATGGGACACTGCAGGCAGAAAACTACACAGTGGTCATCGTAGAGGGTGAGTTTTTTGCTCTTCCCATAACATTCCCAGTGTAGCTGAGTAAGACTTTGTATTCCCTCTTTCTCCTACAGCCTTTCCTACACATTACCCCCTTTTCTGTTTTGAGGAGCTTATGTGAGACCTACCCCTTTCCTCCCACTGCTGACAGCAGTCTGCTGCTCTTCTCTCTTCTCTTGCTCCTGATGATGTCCTCTGGTCCTCTGCTTCTTTCTTGCTTCCCCTCTTACTACCTCCCACATTTCTATGTGTGCCCAAGCAAGCAGCCATGAGCATACCTGTGCTGGCAGCAGGGTGAGTGAGGATGGCCCTACTGCAGCACCATAGCTGGTAGTGGGACCCCTTGGGCCCTTGCATTGCATCTGCTGATCTCCTGAGGAGAGCTCAGGAGCCCAGGAGGCACTAAATGTCTGTATTTAGGCCATACCGGGAGTCACCTCCCTTGAGATACAACACAGCAGGAGTTAAATTTTCAGGGGAAGACTCCTGCACCCTCTCCTTGCATAACATAACACAATAGATATGGAGATGGTGCTGTTCAAAGCACGTACATAAGGATTTCAGCTGCATGGGTTCAAAGCATGAGGGCAGCCTCCATTCCTGTGCTGTGTCTTGTCCTGAGAGATCAGATTGGTAGCAGCCCAAAGCTTTTGGGATGAGTAGGGAAGACAGGGTTGTCTATTCTGCTCCTTTATGGCTGTTGCCATCTCTCCAGAGCTCTAAGCTGTAGGGCACATGGTGCCCTACATGACCTCCAGCAGCCTCCTGAGTATGAGGGCACCAGCTGGCACTACAAAAATGATGCCTTGATGAAGCAGCCATGACAGCTGGCATGTTTTTAGCAGGGTTTCTGCACAGTGGGAAGCCCCTTGGCTAATGGACTGCTGAGCAGTAAGGGTGCCTCACTACTTCAGGAATTATTATTGCAAACTGTCCGTAGTTGCATTAAGGCATCCGGGCCTGATGCTACTTACTCATACTATAAGCCACTGAGCTGTTATTAGGGTGTCCTAGGTTCAATTTCAGGTTAAGTTTCTACCCAGCTATGTGCTGCATCATTTTGTCTACTGTGCAGCAGAGAGGTTGCCTTAGCTCTGGTAGCTGTTTTGGAAGGAAAGTCCTTTAGTAATTGTTGGGTGCTGGGGTAATTTGTCAGCCAGATTATACTCCGTTACTAGGGCTGGACAAACAGTTATTTAAAAAAAAAAAAAAAAAAAAGTAGTTTAAATTATATTGTCACACGAATCCATCACCAAGACCTGGACTCTAGAACACTTGGGGTGTTCTCGTGAATGATAGTGGCTGGAAAGCTGCCCAGCAGAAAAGCACCTGGGGGTGGTCAGCCAGCTGAATAGGAGCCAGCAGTGTGCCCAGGTGGCCAAATAGGCCTGGAGCATCCTGGCCTGGATCAGGAACAGCATGGCCAGCAGGAGCAGGGAGGTGATCATGCCCTTGTACTTGGCACTCATGAGGCCCCACCTCAAATAGCATGTTCAGTTTTGGGCTCCCCACTACAAGAAGGACATTGAGATGCTGGAGCGTGTTCCAGAGAAGGGCAAACAAGATGGTGAAGGGTCTGGAGCAAAAGTCTGACAAGGGGTGTCTGAGGGAACTGGGGTTGCTTAGTCTAGAGAAGGGGAGGCTGAGGGGAGACCTTATCACTCCCTACAGCAACCTGAAACGAGGCTGTAGTGAAGTGAGACCTGGTCTCTTCTCCCATATAACCAGTGATAGAATGAGAGGAAATTGGCTCAAGTGGCACCAGGGTAGCTTCACACTGGATCTTAGGAAAAAATTATTTACTGAGGGAGTGGTTGGGCATTGGAACAGGCTACCCAGGGAAGTGGTGTAGTCACTGTCCTTGGAGGTGCTCAAAAAACATGTGGAGGTAGCATTTCAGGACATGGTTTAGTTGTCATGGTGGTGTTAGGTTGATGGTTGGACTTGATGATCTCAGAGATCTTTCCAACCTTAGTGATTCTTTGATTCTATAATGATGATTCTGTAGGTTACAGCTTGTAGAAGAGGAGTGTGGTTAACAGGGAAAGGGTGGCTGCAGATGCCACAGCATGAACCTAAGCTGCATTTGCTCTGAGCAACCTTTATTGCCTTTAAAATTTATGCTCTCTGAAACTTACATTGCCTATAACTAGAAGTGGTCCTGGCATGTTTGGGTATAGTAAAGGCAGAAATTTAATTTTTTCTATCTGATGTCCCTGCCAGTTGCCCTAGTTGAGGAAAGCCCCACCAGCTTTTCTGGCTCTTTCAGTGCCACTAGCAATAGAGAATCTGTAACTGAAATGTAGCTAGCTGTTTGCAGGACATAAAAAGAGATGGAAATCAGTTTTCTCAGTCACAATCTCACTGAGAGCTGAGAGGTGTCTGTTTTGTGTTTTGTTTCCTATACTGATGGGTTTTCATGCTGTGGATGTTGTGCCAGCTGGGTGCTTTTGGTAATAAATGCATAAATGCATTATGCATAAATGCATAAAGCTGTTTGTCTTGCCTTAGAGGAATTCTTTCCTGATGGGCACAGGCAGACCAAAAGTGACTTCATTTTCACCAAAACACTGGGGCCAGAGCTGGAGGGGTCTATGTCTCCAAGTCCCTCCCATCTATTACCACCCCTGAAAACCCAACTTTCTCTCCTCACCTCCCTGGTTGGCTGGCTGTGAGCCAGACTGAGCCTGAAAGTGATCCAGCCAAGGTGGTGCAGCTCTGCTGGGCTAGGCCAAGTATTTCTCTGTTTTCTGTGTTGTTTTCTTTGTTATTGCCATGTCACCTCTTTAGTAGAGGTCTAATTTGCTCTTAATTCTTCTCTGGTGTCATTAGCTGATGTTACTCCCTAACTACCTACTGAGGGCTAATTCCCTCTTCTGCTTATTGATGGAGGTTTCCAAAAGGATAAATCATCTCAGACATGCCTGTCCCTTCTCTTTTTTTTCAGAGCCTGTCCCTCAGCCAATCCTCAGTGCTGAATGCCTGAATAAAACTGTATCTGTCAAGTGTGAAGTGAAGCAGAAGCCTAAAGACGAAATATATATAATTGAACTGACTCATGGTAAAACCAAAAAAATCCAGAAGAATGCAACCAAGCTGGAATTGCACACACGGTATTCTGGGATGTTCAAATGTGTTGTCCAGAACCAAGTCAGCAAAAAAGCGACTGAAAAAACCATTAAGTGCTCAGGTAAAAATCTATTTTTGCCAGAGTCTGCTGGGGCAGATCCACAAAGCCTGACTCAGTTGCACATATCTGTAGGACTGGTCCAGGTGCCAGGACCATCTACAGTTCCTGGTACCCAGTATTGCAAGTCTACTGCTGCTGCAGTTACTGGGAGCTGCTGCTGCTGCAGCTGGGATGAGAGTCATGCTTCTGCTTGGCATTCCCCACCCTTGTCACATCTCCGTCCTCCTTCATTTCTACCTGTGTGGCATCCTGCTCTAACAGCTGGGAGGCCAAGCTGGGGTCAAAGGGTTTTGAGGTGGGCCATGCTCCTCTTCTGCAGCCAGTGGTGTTTTCCCCTGTGCTCAGTGAGGTCTGGAGGTGGCAGGGAGGCCCTCTGGGGCACACGGCAATGCTGCTTCACCTGGAGGTGGAGTCTCCTGAGGGAAACTGTAGCCTGACAGCAACACCAGGCTAGCTGAGGGGTAAATGAATGAGATTGCTCATCCCATCATTTTCCCACTCCCCTCCATCACTGTGGACTCTTCTTCCAAATGTTGCCAGAGGTATCCTGACAGGCTCTTTGGTATCAGCATCCTGGCAGACTCAAGTGGTGTCAACCTTCACTAGTGGCAGACCAATGAAGTAAAGAAGAAAGCTGGGAGGTGGGCTTGAAGGTGTTTTAATCACACATAGCAGTCTGCAAAAGGCAGAAACCGCTTTCTCTCTCATTTTTATCCTCCTTTATTCCTTTACAACTAACAGTACTTCCCAAAGATTGACTTCAGTTAACCAGTCCAAAACCAAAGGCTTGAGTAAGGTGCTGTTAAACTACCCAAAGTACTACAACATAGATTAACAGCTTAATTTGGAAAATATGGCTTGGGATCTTCTCCTGTATCTGAAACCATGGCATTGACTTCAGGGGACTTGCTCTTGATTTATATTTTCATGGTGGGAAAATCAGTTGCACATTCTGTTTCACCTCTCCATGATCATGTGTATGAAGGTGATGGTTGCCTGCTACCTCTGGATGTGTATGAGTGCACAAGGGGAAAAATAAGCTGCTTGGACTCTCCAGTTTGGCCTAGAAATCTGGTGGGACATTCTGGAGAATTTAGCTGAGCTTTGGGGCTGCATGGCTCAGATGAGCATGGATCAAATTTTCTTACTCACTTGAAGTGTCATCTTCCTAAACCGCAGATGCAGCAACAGAACTGGTGGAATTTCATTTTAAATGGACAGAGTCATGCTGAAAATTATTAGATGGGCAAAAGAAGTAATCATTCTCCCTTTTAAAAGTGTTGAAAGTGTCAAAAACAAGGGACAGATCATACTGGCATGGCACTGGATGCTGCTTTCAGTTGAAAGTTCAGATTTCCAGTGCAGTACTGGGGAAAAGCCCTTGAATTTGCTGGGCATGGGTTCAACCCACCTAACTGTCCTTAAAGCACTTTCTTGCTCTAGGTTCCTGCTGGAGCAAGTGGAGAGTGGGGAGCTCATGAAAGCTAGATCAATATTTCCAGTTTCCAGCTATTTCTGCCATAACAAATTTAGAGGAAGTTCAAATCTATAGGTCAGCCCATGGTTATGAAAAGGAATTTCTTCACCTTAATGAAGCAATCCAGGGTCTGCTGAGGATGACTGAAGGGCAAAGAGCTGAGAGGCTTCTGCTTGCTCTCCTGGGCAACACTTACCTCCTGTGGTTTCACCCTGATGCCTAAAATAGTCAGAAAATAGTTGTTTTCTGCTGCATGAGCTGCCTGAGCTGATGGGCTGCCCAGTCCCATTGGTGCTAGCATTTGGAAGGGGCTGGGATGTGGAGGAGTGGGATGTGGCATGGACTTTGGAACCAGGTATGAAAACAAGCTGCTGAATGAGGTCCATTTAAGACAGGACAGACTAGCCCAAAGATGTTGTCTTAATGAGCAAATGCTGGCTGAAGCTGACCATCAGAGGGCATGAGCCAGGCAAGCATTAGCCATCAGTTGGGTACTTTGATTTCACTTCTTCTCACCCTTGACAAATCCTCTTGTTTCACGGGATGGGAGAGTTTCTTTTTCACAAATCATTACCGGAGAAATAAAATGCTTGCCACACCAATATTTAAGGTACAAATAAAGCATTTTTCATACGCTAAAAAACCCACTAATACTATGTAGCAACGCCCTTCCTGCTCAAACTAAAAACCCCTCAAACCTTTTTCTATGTGGTGGCAGGACTCTGCCAGCTCAATAGTAGATTGAAAATCCTTTAGCTTGTGGTCAAACCTCCTGCCAACCTTGCTGCCCTCCATGAACATCTGGTCCTGCAGTTGATTTGCCTTGAATTTTGACCTTCAGCAGGCAAGGCATGCTTCAAATGGGCTTCAGCTCACCTGAATTTTCATAAAAGTGTAAGTACACAAAGAGTCTGCCTGGGTTCACCTTACAGTCAGCTGGGATAAACAGGCATGAAGAAGTGCAAAATACACCTCCATGTAACATGGGCAGCTAAAATGGGTGAGAAGTCCAAAATTGCTGAGGAAGCCCAGGCTGATGGTTGCCTTTATACTGCAGATATCTCAGCTTTGGTGTCATCACTCTTTGCTCTCCATGTACATGCCCAGTGGATGTTAAGGGTGGTACCAGTGGTGTTGTCCCCTTTGGAGATTTCTCCCGTAAGAAGTCAAGGAAGGTGGGTGCAATTCTGCTGGGTCCACTTCCACGGTGCCTGTGCTTGAGCATGGACACTGAGTGCCAGGAGGACAGTCCAAGCAGGAGGCAGGCCAGCATCTAGCAAACCTTATCTGGGAAAAATAAGGAACACTCACATAAATTTTGGTTCCCCGGGCAAACTGAACTCTCGTTTTGAGACTGTGGGAAATTTGGTCATGTTCTTTTGGTTTTCATTATTTTTTAAATTTGTGTGCAGCCAAAAATTGAAGAGGAAGTAACAAAATACTATGAAGAAAGCTAGTTTCACTTTTCCAGCTCAGTAGGAAGTACTTAAGTTTATTTTTGCTAGATACTGAGCACTGTCTGGATGCTCGTTGTCCTTAAAAGGGTCCATTGCTAGCAGGGAGAGGGCATTGGTGGTAATTTGAGTAAGATGAGCTGGCATACATGAATGCTCTGGTTTCAATTTTCTGCAGAACTAGAATCCATCAGGGAACAATCAAAATTCTCCACAATGAAGATCAGCAACTTTCTGCTGAGTACAGAGAAAAAGCAAAGTGTGGGCTCCCTCACTGGGCCTGCCTTTACAGTCAATGGGTGAAAATAGAGAATTCTAAGTGGACATTGTGCAAGTTATTTCTTTTCCTCTAACATGCTTTTTCATTCCCTTAACTAGGCCAGCTGGACCTTTACCTCATCTTAAGCATAGCAGGAGGCGCAATCTTCTTTGTCATCTTTGTGATTTTGCTTATTTATTGTATCAGGAAGAAGAAAGCAGAAAGGCTTCAAAATGATGGTAAGTATTTAAGGGGCTTTATGTTGCTATTCAGCTACCTAAAATCTTAGAGCTTCCT